ATTTAAGGTTGCCACATCTTTTGTCATAAAGGCTCCTCAAATTTAAGAGCTGTGTGGGAAGCAAGTAAAATGGATTTCTCCTAGACATACTGCACTGGGAACAGTTTTGTCTATTGTATTGGGTACTGCAAATGTCCAAGAATTTTGTTTGTTTTGCTTTTGATAAGGACTTTTCAGAATTCTCAGATTTCCGCATGAATTCAACAGAAAGGTAGTGAGATTTTTTTACAAAATAGAATGTGGAAGAAAGGTACAGATTGAGTCATCCATTCTTAGTCATCACCAATTCCTGCATCCTGAATCTTTCTGTCAGGGTGTGAAAATATCTCTGCTGATTTCACTGTGTTTCACAAAATCCTTCTTAGAGTGGCTTTATTTCTTCTTCCTGTGAACACACTTTAGCTTTCCATGTTTTAAAATGTATACTTTTATGCAAAATGGCTTGCAACGGCTAACAGACATGTCAGTTTTCTGACTGAGGCGGGTTTCTCCTCACGGAAAATACAAGGAGGTCCAAAAACTCCACTGTCACTGAGACTGTCAGGCCCAGCACATTGTTTTGCTGCCACCTTCGCCTCTCACATACTTCCTGCTGTGACTTCCCTGGAAATGCCCAGTAAGCAACTTTCCCCAAAGCATCCCAGTTTACCTTATCTGTGTAGCTTCATTCGTTCCCTTCATCCACAACAAGGGCTCACAGATGTGTTTCTTTAGTTCCCATTAATGGACCAAGCCACGGCTGTACAGTAAGTGTCTCCCTGGTTTGGTGTGCACACGCGCCACCTCTTGTGTTCAGTGGTGGTGTGTCATTATTTTAATCTCAAGAATCCTCCAGAGTAGAGAAGGGAAAAGGAGAAATTTGCCCCCTGTTTGCCCTCGGTTGGCTATGCTTCTGATTAACCTTTTCCTTTATAAACTGCCCCTCCCCCATCTGTGCCCTTTTCTCTTGCCTTCTTTGTGATTCAGTTAGAAAAGCACTCCCCGTGCATTCGGAGAGAGAAGGGCCTCTGGTTCTCCACGTCCTGCTCACCAGGCTCTTGTGACTTTTCAGAGTTGCTTTTGTTTAGATCAGTGAGTTCAGATATTAATCGGCCAAGAACAAGAGTAGGCCTCCGTATTTGTCTAAAGTAGGGACATGAGATGAGATGAGGAGGTCTCTTGGCAAGGAATTCCCAAAGCCCCACAGGATTCCTTATCTCCAGAGTGAAAGAGAGAGAAAAATGTCCTTTTGCGCAAGATATACTTGTACAAAACTTGTACTTTTTTCTTTATGTATCATGTCACTTTATCCACTACATCACTTTATCCACTAAGTGCTCAATATATATAAAAATATGAATACAGGAAGACTGAGAAACTGTTCAAAAAGAGGCACACAACTCAATCAATGTTTGTGATTCTTAAAAATCCATGAAATAAAATATCAGCTGCCATTGTATCACTTGCATTATTTGCATTAAAACTGTCCTTGTAAATGCAAAAACTCTTGGTGGGAACAACCAAAAAATTCTGGCCATACTGCAACACAGGAGAACAATTTTATAGTTTCTCATTCTCACAGTGAGGCAAGCATGGATTTGCAAGTCTTCTTTCCAAAGCACACAGTTGTGAGTTCTATAGCAGATTAGAGGGCAAACATGAGTAGATTTGCATAGCCATCCTACCCCTGAGCAGCCTTTGACTAATAGGTGGCTACTAAAATTAGCAAGTTGAAAAGGTGCTTTGAAATTTAAAGACTCTTTGTTACAGTAAAAAAAAAAACTGATTTATTGCCCTGTAGTGAATAGCTGGGATTTTATATATTATTCAGGATTTCAAGCCAAGGCTGTAAAAATGTAAGGTCTCAGTTCCATGCATGGAATGTTTTATGTGTAAATTTTTTAACATTTATGGGGTATATTTTATTGAGGCCAAGACTTTGCTCAGGGGAGAGCTTACAGTCACATTTCCTCTCTCCAATCTTGTTAGGAAGAGTGGCCATATGAGAATAATCAGAAACGTTTTTACACAAAATACTTGCGGGGGGATCCCAAAAGCACTCCAGGAGTGAAATGCCAGATTTTACAAATGGAGTTTCTGGTACTTTTCAGTCTGCCAAGATGCCAGCAGTATGCACTGCAGAACATTGACCCTGAGACCAGCGCAAGATGTAATGGAAAACCATAGTATTATCCTTCCTTGTTCTCATCAACCATAGTTTTTAAACCACCTGCAGTTTCCTGAGTTTGGGCATCATTACGAATTGTGTGTTATGTACTGTGAAGTTGGAAATTATTTTTAGCAACCCTGAAAAGAGCTTTCTATGGCCAAGCAGGAATTTGAACCTAGGTCCCTCGAGTCCTGGTTGACAACTCTGCCCACTGCACCACACGGGGTGTCCATAAAGAATTGTAACTAATGTATAACTAGAAATGAATGGTTTTGACTTTCTCCTCCCAGAAATGAAAGAGAGTGAATGAGAAGAGAAGAACACAGAGTCCAAGATTCCTTGCAGATTATTCACACAGCTTGGAAGTGTTGTTTTTTGGAATAACATTCCTAAAATCTCCAGTGTAGCCACTGTATTCCAAAACGTAGTTTTCCCTAGTTCTGCCCATTCATGTAACATGAAAGCAAGGCTTACTTCTACATTAGGTGGGTAGGTAGAAGTTAGTCATTGAGCTACTCACATTTAATTGACTGTCTTCTATACATAAAGAGCTACTCGCATTTAATTGACTGTCTTCTATACATAAAGGTAAAGGTTCCCCTTGACAATTTGTCCAGTCATGTCTGACTCTAGGGGGCAGTCCTCATCCCTGTTTCCAAGCCAGTATTTGTCCATAGACAGTTTCCGTGGTCATGTGGCCAGCGTAACTAGACATGGAACGTCGTTACCTTCCCACCATGGTGGTACCTATTTGTCTACTAACATTTTTACATGCTTTCGAACTGCTAGGTTGGCAGGAGCTGGGACAAGCGACGGCAGCTCACTCTGCTGCGTGGATACGATCTTACGGCTGCTGGTCTTCTGACCCTGCAGCACAGAGGCTTCTGCAGTTTAATTCACAGCGCCACCACATCCATCATCACCACGTCTTAGGATGACTTAATAACTAACAAGTTTGTTTGATCTAACATCACCACGTCTTAGGATGCCTTAATAACTAACAAGTTTGTTTGATCTAAGCTTATGGCAAGAAAAACTCATGCAGATGTCATAAGACTCTCTGTTGACTTTCCAGCAACAGATAAGCACGACTATATCCCACTGGAAATTTCTGAACTGGCATCTTTAATAGCTTTCTTCACCTGATGTCCTCTGGTTGTACTTAACTACAATTTCTACTGTCAGCCTTTCTGGATGTGAATGATTGGAGCTGATTCTGAACTGGCATCTTTACTAGCTTTCTTCACCTGATGTCCTCTGGCTGTACTTAACTACAATTTCTACTGTCCTAGCCTTTCTGGATGTGAATGATTGGAGCTGTAGTACAGTACAAGTGGAGGGAACATGGTTGTAGGTGGGTGATCTGTACACATATATATTAGGCATTCATGTTTGGTTTGGTTTGGTTTTTTGGTCTTTGCAAGTTCTGTGCAACTCCATACCCAAATCTGTCCTGCCTCCTTTTTCAGTAGCGGGCCTTGGCTGCTCTTCTGAAGCAGTGATATAGAAACTTAAGGGACTGTCACACAATTAATATTAGCTTAATACACATGTTGTTGTTTAGTCGTGTCCAACTCTTCGTAAACCCATGGACCAGAGCACTCCAGGCCCTCCTGTCTTCCTGCCTCGCAGAGTTTGGTCAAATTCATATTGGTTGCTTCGATGACACTGTCCAAGCATCTCGTCCCGTAGATTCAGTGACACCGTCTAACCATCTCATCCTCTGTCGTCCCCTTCTCCTCCTGCCTTCACACTTTCCTAACATCAGCGTCTTTTCTAGGGAGTCTTCTCTTCTTATGAGATGGCCAAAGTATTGGAGTCTCAGCTTCAGGATTTGTCCTTCCAGTGAGCACTCAGGGTTGATTTCCTTCAAAATGGATAGGTTTGTTCTCCTTGCAGTTGAGGGGACTCTCAAGAGCCTCTTCCAGCACCACAATTCAAAAGCATCAATTCTTCGGCGGCCAGCTTTCTTTATGGTCCAGCCATACACATACATAGTCCCAAAAAGGCTGGTACCAACATGTGCAAAGCTTTTAGGGTTTAAGCAGCAGAAGGTCCAATAGCCCTTGCTTTTGTTATTGTTATTGCTGTTGTTTGATAGCATATAGCTATTTGGTACAGTGGTGCCTCGACTTACGAAATTAATCTGTATTGGACCAGTGGCCATAACTCGAAAATTTCATAAGTCAAAGCACCATTTCCCATAGGAATGCATTGAAAACAATTTAATCGGTTCCGACCAAAGAAAAAAATCCAGGGCTTCCAAAAGCTGCTCCCGCTGCCCTCTGCCTCCTGTCCCCGGACGCGAGGCAGAGGGCAGCAGGGATGGGAGGCAGAGGGCAGCGGGGGTGGCTTTGAATGTCCAGCCATTTCCCCTGCCTTTCGTAGGTCGAAGCTTCGGCCACAGGTCAAACCAAAATTTTGTGGCTGGAGCTTTTTGTACCTTGAAATTTTTGTAAGTAGAGATGTTCGTAAGTTGAGGCCCCATTGTAGTTTAATCATAATCCTTGTTATATTTTTTTCAGGTTATTTGCAAGGCTCCTGTTTGACTAAAGAACTCTTAGCCAATAGTCAAGCATTATTCTTTTTCTCATAGTGATACCTCTTCCAAGTTGCCTCTTGCCATTTGCAGTTTCTCTCAGTACTTGTATTTTTAAATAATTACAAACAATTAAATCGCCATTTGAATTAATCGGGCACCATTTCAGTCAATCAGCCTGTTTTGACTGATTACAATATCAAATTGATTAATAAGTGTTGGAGTCTTGGTTACTCAATTACCTTCAGAATGCAGTGATAGAACAGTGTTTCTTAGAAGTGGACTGACCACTCTTCATTTGATCATCCCCAGATGGTGAAAGCCATTCAGGTTCTGAGGATTCATCTACTGGAGTTGGAGAAGGTGAATGAATTGTGCAAGGACTTTTGTAATCGTTACATCACCTGTCTCAAAACTAAGATGCACAGCGACAACCTACTCAGGAATGACCTTGGGGGGCCTTACTCTCCGAACCAGTCCTCCATTAACCTTCACACACAGGTAATGGTTGAAAAATGTTCAACACAATATCTGCCTCCTTAGAAAGAATTTAGTTTTCTTCCGACATTGTCCAGAATCAGGTCAGTAATTTGCACTTATGTAAAGTAAATCATGCAAATCTCAGCAGCAAATGGCCACTTGTTAACACAACTTGCTTGGCTACATTCAAGAGTACGTTCCCAAGGAATAAGATCCACACCACACTAATGAGTGGCAATCTGCCACCACAGTTGATGTGTTTTCCCTTATGCAATTATAAATTGCCATTGGAGTTTGGCTGCTTTCTTATTTTCAGATGTTTGTGCATGTGTGTGCATATGTGTGTGTGCGCGCACAAAACATAGTAGAGGAACAATGGATGTTTCCACTCATTGTAACAATGAAGTACCATGGGAAGGGCTGTATGCGTGTCTACATGTATATGGGTTTTACAGTTTTTTCTTTAATTGACATCAGAGTGAGCCCAATCCTGCTCTGATTAAGGCTAAAAGAGAGTGACATGGCTAAGGGTACCTAGAAAGTTCATGGCAAAGTTATCTGAACTTATAAAGTCATAGTTCTTGGCTCTGTATCTTAACCACATTATACCGGCTCTTAAACTATGAGATTCTGAATTCGCATAGGAGTGACTGCATTACTCTGTTGCAAGAAAACCAACAAAACGGTCTTGAGACACTTTACAGACTAGCTCATTTTATTTTACATAAGCATCATTGAATACAATAGGGCTATATCTGATGAAGTCAGCTTCAGTCCATGAAACTTTGTGTTAGGAAAGTTTATTAGTCTTCAAGGAGCCATGAGAGGTGGCATGCTAAAATGTTTTCTACTCTATTTACTTTTAGCTATTTACTTTTAGCTATTTACTCATTACCAGCTATCCTACCCCGTTCATGCTTCCTCACCCTGAAAAACCACTTGCAGTGATACAAAGCGAGATGGTGAAGGATGGGATGCAGGAAAAATACATTTCTTTGTGGGCCAATATTTCATAATTTAGAACAAGCAGAACTTGCAAAGAATGATAATGTTCCTATCAAATACATTTCTTGCATTAATACAGTTGTTGGCATACATGCACATCCTTCATATGTATAATGAGGCCTGCTTTTTTTAAGTTTGCAACTTCCAAATGTTGAAAGAATTGCATGTGCCCACCTGAAAAGAGATCACGGTGTAGGTTTATTCACAAATTGGGAATAACCACAATGGAGCACAGCTAAGCACCATAGGGACTTATTCTCAATGAACACAGAAAGGATCAGGGTATAAAGTTGCCATCTTTTCTGTTTACTCTTACATTTGCTCCTATACTGAATGCACTCCTGTTTCATCATATGCAAGAATGCAGCATAAAGCTCCCATCCATTGCTTGGGAAAAAGAAAACTGATTTTTAAAAAATTCTTATTGAACATGGTAAGTAGCTCTCTTTGTAATAAAAGCTTCTGGGTTATTGTGGGGCGGGTTGTTTTGTTTTGTTTTTGTTGAACCTATCTTTTATGTGCATTCCAAAAAATCCTTTTCAGCATTGTATTTCTGAGCCCTGGAGATACAAATAAATCTCTGTTACATTTTACTGACAAGGGAAAGATTGATTTGGGAGAAGAAGAAAAAGAGAAGTGCAACAAACTTGCTTTTCTATTCCTTCTGTTCCACTTTTTAAAAGAAACATAGTGAGAGTATGGCTTGGAAAGGGGAACATATTTTTCAGATGTCAGTAGATGAACAATAACTCCCCCCCTCCATCTTATCACTATTTGTTAGTTTCAGTTCCAACCCCAAATTACCTCTGCTGCATTTTATTTATTTGTTAGATTTGTTGTTGTTTAGTCGTTCAGTCGTGTCCGACTCTTCGTGACCCCATGGACCAGAGCACACCAGGCCCTCCTGTCTTCCCTGCCTCCCAGAGTTTGGTCAAATTCATGTTGGTTGCTTCAATGACACTGTCCATCCATCTCATCCTCAGTCGTCCCCTTCTCCTCCTGCCTTCACACTTTCCCAACATCAAGGTCTTCTCTTCTCATGATATGGCCAAAGTATTGGAGCCTCAGCTTCAGGATCTGTCCTTCCAGTGAGCACTCAGGGTTGAATTTGTTAGATTAATATCCCGTATTTCCTCCAGTGACTTCATGGCAACTTGGCTGTTTCAGCCCTATGCGATAACTCAGGCTAAGAGAAAATTAATGACCAATTTCGTGTTTCAGAAGAAACTAGAACCTAGATCTCACAAGATCCAATCTGAACCTCTAATCACTACACCACATTGGTTTTCAAGGGCTAGCAATCCCTTACTACTAACAATTAACAAATTCTCTGTTCTAGCCCAGACAGGTCATCTCTCACTTATGGGTTGCAGTCTGCCCAAAGCTGGCATACATAAACTGTGTGATGACGGTGAAAGCAAACAACTCTTACATGATGCAATGACAGTAGGCTGCAGTCAGAACCACTGTTCCCAAACATTCTGACATTAGCTCCCATGTGACATCCAATGTGTAAATCCATGCTGTTAATTTGTTTAATTATTTTGCCAACATTATTTGTCTTGTATTCTCGAAGGCTTTCACAGCTGGGATCTGATGGTTGTTGTGGTTTTTTTGGGCTCTTTGGTCGTATTCTGAAGGTTGTTTTTCCCAACATTTCACCAGTCTCTGTGGCTGGCATCTTCAGAGGGCAGGAGTCTGAATGCTGTCTGTGCTCTGGTGCAATTTGTTTGGATACTTGAGTATTTATAGCTGTGGGATCAGCTTTTGTCCTTTTCAGGAGATGGGTTTTTGTGTAGGTACCCTTTTCCAACACTGCCTAATGACCAGCTATTTTCACTGGGATAATGAGTTCTATGAACAGACAGATGGAGTGGCCATGGGGAGCCCCCTCAGCCAGGTTATAGCAAACTTCTACATGGAACTTTTCGAAAAACAGGCCCGGCTTCGGCACCTTTCGCGCCCGCAGTCTGGTTCCGATATGTGGATGGCACCTTCACAGTTTGGAACCACGGTGAAGAAAAACCTGAAGAATTTCTAAACCATATCAACAGCATCCACCCAAATACAGTGGTGCCTCGCACAATGATGTTAATTGGTTCCAAAAAATTCATCGCTGTGTGAAACCACCATTCTGCGAAACACCATTTCCCATAGGAATGCATTGAAAACCAGTTAATCCGTTCCAATTGGAACGGATTGCCGTCCTTAAGCAAAAATCGCCATAGGAAACATCGTTGTGTGAAACGCGGTTCCCCAATTGAAATGTATTGAAGCCTATTCAATGCATTTCAATGGTTTAGCGAAGTGAAATTTTGCAAATTTAAGTGTGTCATAAAAGGGTCAAAAACGGTTTTAAATGCTTGGAATAGCTTCTGCACCTTCTAAAACGGGTGGAAACTTAATTTGGCTTTGATCTCACTTTTCGTTAATTTTTGCTGAATTTTTTTCTTCCCCACCAACTTTTGACAGCTGTCAAAATTTGACAGCTCCATTATTTCCTATGGGGGAGGAAAAAATTCACAAAATATTAACGAAGACTTGGAACAAAGCGAAACTTAGTTTGTACATGATTTAGAAGGTCCTCTAACGAACCCAAGCATTTAAAACAGTTGCTGACTTTTCATTACTTTTTTGTGAATTGTTTTCTCCCCCATAGGAAATAATGCAGCTGTCAAAATTTGTGCACTTAATAAACCCTTTGTTACCCTGATTTGACTTTGTCCTGACTCTTTTTTTAATTTGTTTTTGAATTTTAAAATTGTAAAGGTTTAAATGCTTGGGATCTGAGTCTTCGTTAATTTTTGGTGAATTTTTTTGTGCCCCATAGGAAACAATGGAGCCCAAGAGCTCCATTGTTTCCTATGCGGCATTAAAAAAATTCAGCAAAAATTAACAAAGACTCAGATCAAAGCCAAATCAGGTGTGCACC